CGTAGAGGTCCCTGGGAGATAAATGAACACAGCAGCCTGACAATTACTCCTTTCTCAAAGGGCTGCCTGATCAATGGTGAAAAATTTCCACCCATGCAGCCATCCATCCTGGAGACTTTCTTTCTTCCTTCCCGCCCCCCAGGCATAAGCTCAGCTAACTTCCAGTTCTCATTGTTTTATGTGTCTGCGCTTTGCCCGTTCAGGCATCCATCAGCAGCTGCTCAGAGTATAGGCATTCCAGTTTCAAGTCTTTCCTCATAAAACGAGTTCTCCCCTTCCCCTCGGTCCACTCCACTTCCCAGCATCATTTTGGGGGTGAGGCATCCTCTCTGCCTGTTTGAGATCTTCAGTCCTGTTGATAAGCCATTCTTGCCCCGGGTTTCTTTGTTTCTCGGAGCCAAAATATTTCCTGAGCGGAGAGGAGAAACAGAGATGATTGACAGCATTGAGCCTGGTCTCATCAGCTGCCTCGCTGACAGCCGGGTGAGGTGCACGCGCTGCTGATGTGCGGGTGGCTGACAGCTGATTGACAGCGCAGCGCTGGGAGACAGCGAAGAAGAAGCACGTTTCGAACGCCTGGCGCGCTGTTTATGCAGCGCTCCGAGCGTGGGCCCTGCCACCTTAACCCGTTCGAGGGCCAGGCTCGGGGTGTGCGAGGCTTGGAACACGCCTGCCCTCCCTGGGCTGAAAGACACAGCCTCACCCTCATGCCTGATTGGGAACAGTGTATCTCAGCAGAAGGAAATAAGGCTTGGCGATTGCATTTGTGTTTGTAAAAGCATTTCCCCTAATCACATCCGTGCTATAAGAGATATTCCACACGAGGTTTCTTTAACTCTTATTAGGGAGAAGAAAAAAAATTTCTCATTTCCCCTCTCCATGTATGTGTCTTCAGAAGGTCTCTCTGGTTCCCCGACGGTGTGATTCAAAGCTACCGAGAGTGTTGGAATACCATTCTTGTTTGCTTATTTATTTGCTTTTTGGCTCCCTCTGTTAGAATGTTAACCCCATGTGGAAAGGGCCTTTGCTTTGTTCATTGCTCGATTCCTGGGTTAACACAGTAACCAACACATACTAGGTGTTAAATGAACATTTCTTGGGTGGAAGGATGGATGGGTGGACATGTGGGTGGGTGGATGAATGGATGGTTGAGTGCGTGGTTGGGTGGATAGAAAAATAGATGGGTGAATAGTTGAATGGGTAAGTAGAGGTGATGGATGGGTGGGTGGATGGATGGATAGATGGATGGATAGATAGACGATGGCTAGAAAGATAGATGGATATATGGAGGGCTGGCTGGCTGGCTAGGGGGGTAAGTGACTGGGTGTGTGGATGGCTGGGTGGATGGGTGAGTGGAGGATGGATGGATGGATGGATGGATGGATGGATGGATGGATGGGTAGTTATGTGGATAGATGGGTGGA